ACTAATCATTCTTTCCTTTGGCAGCTGTTTAGCCCTTCAATGACGGTTACAGACATGAACCTTCCCGACCTGGACAGCAGCCTTGCCAGTGTGAGTAGCTGTTAAAAATCCCTCCATGCACACGCAGCTGCCAGAATGAAGTGTGTCCTGCTGTTCTGCAGCAGCCTCTCCGGGTGATTAAGGGAAGGCTCTGACAGGCTCTGAAGAGCGGCCAGGCCGGCCCCAGCCCGGAGGGAGGGGATGTGGGAGAGAGGAGGAACGCGGAGCCCTGTGCAGGCCTGGGGAGCCGCCGGGGGGAAATAATTCAATTAGCGCTGCGGCTTTCCCCGAGCAGCTCATACGGCGAGCAGGGCTACTTCATCAGTCATACTCGGTTAATTAGGTGCTGAGACTTCCATCTCTCATGTGAGCTCTGCCCCCTGAACGTGGAAGTGCACCGAAGCCTGGAGAGCTGCATGTGGTTTCCATAAACCCTCCTTTGACTTTCTGAAATTGTCAGGAGGTTTTCTCAAGGCAAGCTCCATCCAGTGCTGCGTTGTTTATTTTATTTACTTGCGTATCATCAGCGCCGAACGCCGTGCGAGGCACTAATACAGACTCTCCTTGCAAGAGCCAGTGTTGCCCGATGCAATTATTTTTGCGTTAGATAACGATGATCAGTCAAACACGGCACTTCGTGGCTGCGCTGAGAAGGCGCTTGGAGCAGCAGGGTGGAAGTTACGGTCAAAACCGGAGCGTCCGGACCCTCGGAGCAGCCTGATGACTGGAGCGCTGCCGGGCTGGGGCAGAGCCAGGCCCTTCTCCCTGCCCCGGCTCGGGGCGGCGTCCGCAGCCCCGGCGTTGCGCCAGCTCCGCGCGCGCTCCAGCTGCAGGGCTGCGGCGCTGGCCTGTCCCTGCCCCGGGACGTGTGTCGCTATTTGCACGAAACGGAACAGCTCTGTGAGAAAAACCGAGAGGGAGACCAAGATAAACACGGGCTTGGCTGTGGCCGTGCATGCGGGAGAGCGCGTCTGGTCCAGATCAACCAAGCGGGGGGCTCCTGGTCCAGTTGACAGCGAGCGGGAGACCCTCAGCTACCCTCTAACCCCTTCTTCCCCCCGCTGCTGCTTTTTTTTTATCTGAAAAGGCACAAAGGGATCTTGTGGTTTTTCCCCCAGCGCAGAACAGGGAACGTCTTGAAAGTTTCTGCAAAGCAGGAAAGCCCCAGCGTCGTCTCCTTGCTGGGCCCAGAGCGATGCAAGGTGGGCTCCTGGGCGGCTGCGAAGGGGGTGTTAGCGCCGACGGTGCGGAGCAGCGAGGGCACGGGCAGCGCCGTGCCCCTCTCCGAAGTGAACCCTTAGGGACCCCGTGGCTTTTCCCTAAGGAAAACCATTCCCACGAGCTCTTTTGGGGTGCCCCTTCCCCTGCGCTAGAGGTGCGGGGTAAAATACAGAACAGGAGTTCCCAGTTCGTAATTCGTCAGCGTCTCTGGCGCCTGGCTCTCGCTGGACATTTCCCTGCCTTTCTGCTTCCTCCTCCTGCCCAGCGGTGCGACGCAGGCGCCCGGCGGCGCGACGCAGGCGCCCGGCGGCCAGCCACCTTCTGGGGATATTTGCAGGGAAAAAGGGAAGTGCGAAGGTGCAGGGGAGCGTTTGACACCGGCGCAGGCAAATGCCCACCCCTCTGTTGTTCACCCACGTTTTCCGCTGCCCTGAGCTGCTGCAGCGGCTGGGGCAGGCAGAGCAGGACAAGGGATTAGCGGGATCTGGGAGAAGAGCGTGAACAGTGAAGATTCAGTAATTCAGAAATGAATTCCTTCATGTCGTTGAGCTGAGAGTGGAAAATCTGGAAGTGGGATTTGCTAAAGGAGTCTTAAGTGGCGTCCTTTGAAATTCAGAGCGTAGCTCTTCAGCTCAGGTGGTGTTTGGATCCAGGTCGCTTGTGTAGTGTTTTTCTCTCCTCTGTCGCGTTGGGAGGCGTGTTTCCTTGGGCTTTGTCTTCACCCAGCCTTCCCACTACGAAAATCCCTGTGCTGGCTGTAGGTTGAGCTGCGGGGTTCCCAAACTGTGGCCAGACGGTCCATGAAGACCTGTGTCCTCACACGTGGCCTGCTTTTACCTAGTGCCGGTTGCTAAGCGGTAACAAAAACTGCTGGCTACGCATTTAAAGACTTGCTAAGGACCTTTCCGTGGCAGCAGTTGCTGTAATGAGCAGCCGCGGGGTTATTAGCTGTGTAAATCCAGAGAGGGGAAGCGATCCCGCAGGAGAGCCCCCGCTCAAGCCTCCTCCTCCCAGTGGCACCGGTGGAGGATCCTGCTCGGCGGTCTGGGATTAGCAGGCTCAGCGCCGGGTTCCCCAGACGCCGGCTTCCCCAGACGGCGTTCGCTCTGCGGGCTGGCAGGGCTTCCCTCCTGACTTCGCACCGAGCGGAGCTCCTCGGGCAGGCAGAGCGCGTCGCTTCGCAGCCTTCCCAGCCCAGTCGTGCCCGTGGGACGGGGGGGTGAAACGGGCCCGTGCCCCCGGCCGCAGCCCGGCTCCCGCTGGCAGCTTGCCGGCACCCGCAGCTCTCAGGTGCTTCAGTTGCAAGAAGACTTTCAATAACTAAAAATAAATTAATAAAATAAAATAGCTCATTACAACCATGTCCTGAAGGCTTTCCCTGGGATCTTAGATCCCGAGATGCAGAAAAGCTTCCCGCTGTGATCCAAGGGAGCGCTGCGGAGCAGGACCTTTGCGGGCAGGAGAGAGGATCTGTGAAGCCAGGTTTGGCCGGGGGGTCGGGTGCCGCCTGGACCGGCCACGTTTGCGACCTGGGAGCTGGAGCGCTCCGCGCAGGCTGCGTCCGGGTCCGTGCGGGCCGCTGACAACCTTGCAAACCTCTGAGGATGTCTGCCTCTGCCGCAGAGCGGCTCCGGGACTGTAAATCACGGCTTGCTTCGTGCGGTGCATGTGTTGGGTCAGTCCCGAGGCGGGCACAGAGAGGACCCGCGCGCGTCCGGCCCGTGCCGTGCGCTTACCCACCCAACCTTTCTCCCTGCAGATTCAGGATCTCCTTTCATCCCAGGAACAGCAGAAGCCTACTGAGACAGAGGCCAGCACAGCGGACACAGGTACCAGGCAGCCGGCTCGGCGGTTAGCGATCCCGTAGCATGAGAATTGAGGCCACGGCAACGTCATTTCTCCTCCCAAAAAGCGTATTTGGCTGGGAGAGATGAGGCTGTCGAGCATGGGAAAGAGAAAGCGTGGAGGGGGATCTCAGCAATCGGTACAAATCCCTGGGGGGAGGGAATGAAGCGGAGGGAGCCAGGCTCTCAGCGGTGCCCGGGGACAGGGCAGGAGGCCACGGCGCCAACCAAACACCTGGAATTCCGTCAGAACGCAAGAAAGCGCTTTTTTACCGTGAGGGCGGTCAAGCTCTGTCTCAGGCTGCACCGGGAGGCTGGGGGGCCTCCACCCTTGGAGATGCTCAGGGTCCCGGGCGGCCTGCTCCAGCTGGCCCTGCCCGAGCAGAGAGCAGACCGGGCGCGCTCGAGGTCCCTGCCGTCCCCAGCCCTCGTGGGACTTCCGTCTGCGTGGAATCGCGTGCGCAGCCGGGGTGCAGCTCTTCCTCCACGGCAGCAGCCCCAGCGCCCAGCCGTGGGCTGGGCGTCTCGCAGCCTGCTCAGGGCGCTCTCCCTCTGCTGTCGGCGCGTCCATGGAGGCCCAGAAAAGCCCCCGCTCCCTCCCTGCGTGTCCCAGAGCGCAGGCTGGAGCCCTGCTACCGTCAAATTCTTCGTCCTTGCTGATGTGCCGAAGGGCCTTGCCCAAGTCCCGGTGTCTCATCGCTTGGCGAGGAGCAAGTAGCGAGGAAGCAGGCGATGTTGGCGGTTTCCAGAGCGAAACCTCGTCGCCCTCCTTCCTCTGGCCGGCGTTGGGCGAGCTGGCCCTGCTCCCCAGCCCGGCTGCCCTCCTCCCGAAAGCTGCTACCCCCGTGGCACCTCTCTCTTTGCAGGAAAGCAGCTGGTGCACTACACGGCCCAGCCCCTCTTCCTGGTGGACTCGAGCGCTGTCGACATGGGGAGTGGAGACCTGCCCATCTTCTTTGAGCTGGGGGAAGGGCCGTATTTCACGGACGGAGACGAGTACTCGGAAGATCCCACCATCTCCCTCTTGTCAGGGACTGAGCAGTCCAAACCCAAGGACCCTGCGATATCCTAAGGCCCAGGGCAAGGTGAAAGAGAGGAAGAGAAAGAATGCGCACTAAAGGGAAATCCAGCCGTCAGCCTCCTCGCTTTGCACAGACATTGAAAGCTCTAAACACCCTCTGGTTCATGTTCGCTTCCCCCGGCACTGTGAGGATTTCATTTGTGTGTGTGCTTAATGAGGTGTTTTGAAATCTGCTTTAGATTCTAGCCACCCAGCGCTCCTCCAGTTTGGCGGCCGTCGGGGGGCCGA